GCCCGGCTGCACGGGCTCCCCAGCACTTGTGTGGGGTCCAGGTACTTAGAACTCAGCACCTCCTGTGCTAATTGTGATCACCTCCCATTTTCCTAGCACCCAGTACCAAAGAAAGCCCAGTCTTTGGTCCAAGCAGAGCCTTCGCCCTGCTCTTCCCTTGGTTTCAGTGACGTCTGTTTAGAGGCCACTGTGCCCCTGCCCCAAGCCAGGTGCCCGCTCAGAACCTACTGGGGTCTCTCCTGCCAGCCTTTCTCAGCTGTCCCCGCTCCCTGCCCCAGGATCCCAACACACGCCCAAACTGCCTTCCTGGCTCCTGGCTGTCCCTGCGGCCCTTGGTGCATGGCCTGTGCCTCTTCTTTGGTGACATCGCCCCCATGTGGTCACTCAGCATCTGCTGGTGACCGTGGAGTGCTCCCTCTTCCCCTGCCCTCAGATGCTGCGGTGCAGGCCCAGGATCCCACCCTGAGGCTCAGCGGAGCAGGCCCTGCGGGACTTGTGACCTGATAATGTCACCCACTGCTGGACCCTGAGGACTTCCTGTAGCTTTCGTGGCCATGGTTCAGCCCTCAGAGATGCAGAATGCTCCAGGCTGGGCTTCCATGGGAGAAGCTGCAGGTACAGAATCCAGGGCAGAGGAGCCCGGGTTGAGTGGGGAAGGACCAGTGAGGGCAGCCGGAAGCAGGTGGCCAGGGTGCTTGGCAGGAAGAAGGGTCCCCAGGGTGCCCCAGGTTGGCCCAAGAAGAGCAGGGGCAGCTCTGACTGCCAAGACCCATGGACACCCCAGAGCCCAGAGGACAGCAGAAACCAGTGGAGCAGAGAAGAGACCGTGGGGCTTTGTTTGCTGATAAAATAAAAACCTCACCACCAAGGGAGGCTTTGAGTGCCTGTTTATGGGGTGCTCACCCAGTGGCTATTCTCTGAGTGTGACTAGGAGCCTAATGACCCTCACAGCCAGCCCCGGGAACTGCTCCGCCCAGGCTGTGAGGGGCTGCCTGGGCCTGGGCCAAGGCCCAGCTCATTGCCCCCCACCTCTTATGCCCAGTGGACTGTGCAGTGGGAAAGGCTTTGCTCTGACCACAGAGCCCTGCTCCTGAGGAATTGGGTGCTGTTCACTGCTCCTCCCTGAGGACACTGATCCGAGATCCCCAGGACAGACTCCCCAGCCCCCCATCCCAAGTGTTCGGAGCAGGTGTGTAGAGCTCAGGCCCTGAGCACTGTGGAGTTCAGAGCAGGTGTGCGGAGCCCAGGCCGGACACCCAGGGTCATTGCTTGTGTGCTTGTCCAGGTGAAGGGGTGGAAGTTGAGTGCCACCTGCCTGACTCACAAATGACCACAGTACAGAGGAGCATGGAGCTGGGACTGGGTCTTCACTCACCTGCAGCTCCCTGGGGGGTCACTCGACCCCTGGGCCCGAGTCTGAGAGGAGCAGGATAAGGCAGAACAGCAGGTAGATCCCCACAGCACATCAGGGGACTCCAGACAAAAGGGCCACCAACCCTACGTCCGCACCAGGACAGGGGAGGGGGGGGCAGAGAGTAACTAGCATGTCGCACACTGAGTGATTATCTCCTGGTTAGGGACTGGTGGTCGGCTGTGATGTGTGACCTTCACCCCTTGGGGGTTCCGTCTCTTTCTCAAGGCTTAATCACTGGGCCTGTTGGGAGCCACAGGCAGACAGGTTCTGCAGAGTGGGTGAGCCTGACCTCAGACACCTCCCAGTGAGTGGGTGTCCAGGCCTTTGTGAGCCATCGTTCTAGCTGGAGTTAGGGACCCCTTGGCTCCCCATAACTGCCCGTGTGCCTCAGCGTCTTTCTTCTCACCACTGGAATTCCAATAACGTTTTCCTGGGATTACACATGTGGGCTCCTCCTGACCATCACAAGGCCCAGAAGGGCTTTCCCTACCATTGGTGCTGCTACAGTTTACAGATACTGGATTTCCTTTCACTGGGGAGAAATGCTGCAGCTTCACTCCCCAGGACATTTGGAAGCTGAGCACCCGTGGTACCTGGTTTCCTCTAGAGTCCTGACTTAATCCCAGCTTACCACAGGGAGCCCCTGCCTGGGGGTGAAGGGTCCCCCAGCAGCCAGGGAAGACAGCTCCCAAGGGTTCTGCAGGAGAGCATCTCTCAGGCCGAAGCCCGAGTACCCTCTCTTATGCAGAGACAGCTGTGCAGCAAGACTTCTGGAGGGTATGCGAAGGGGACAGGGGACCTCAAGGCCCGCCCAGACCTGGGATCACGGTACAACACTCCTCTCACTGTGCAGGAGCAGATGACTGCCCAGCTCTCCTGAGAGGTGAAAGCAACACCACAGTAAACCGGCCCAGTGAGACTCAAACCAGAAACGCAGGAGTCTAACGTCAGCAAAGACTCATCTCTGGGGGCTCCAGCCTGTCACTGTCCCTTGCTGATGCTGGGAGGCACAGATGACAGGAGTAGGAGGGTTGCTCTGGCCACCTACACTGACTTGAACTTTGCTTGATTCGGGCCATCAACTGAACAGGGTGCTGCTTTCGTGAGAAAAGAGGTGCGGATCTGGGTAGAACAGGTTGAGAGTGACCTGGGACAAGGCATGACATCGTGAAGGTGACCAGGCTGGGACACTGACCAGGACCAAGGGTCTGGAGGGCAGAGGCAGGATATACTGCTCTGTGGAGGCCAGGTTGACGGGCTGCAAGCTGGGGGGCAGGGGGGCGCCTGGGGTCTGAGTGTGGCATGGGCAGCACAGTGAGCCTGGAGCAGTTGGGACACAGAACAGATACCCTGAGACACTGAAGATGTGACACCAGCAGATGTGGGGAGACCAGAGGAGCCCCAAACGCTCAGTGGATAACTGGGGTTCTAGGGTTCAAGTCACCCCTAGGTTGATCAGCTTTCAGTAGATGCTCCAGGCAGAGGGAGTGAGAGGTGGGTTTGTGGGAGACGCCCGCTGGGGCCCAGCTGCTGTGAGGGCTCAGGAGCCACAAGTGCTCACCGGACCTGTGGCAGGGCTGAGAGCTCAGAGGGACAGATGAAGTCAGGAGGTGGGGCTTGGGAGCTCGGGAGCCCTGCTGGGCACCCAGCACTGTGGATGTGAGTGGGTGGGGAAGGGAGGGACAGATGCAAGGACTGCTGGGAGACAGGAAAGAGGAGCAGGGGAGGGTCCTGCAGAGAGGAGGCTTGCCTGGACAAGAGCAGACTGAGTGGGTTTCAGGGCTGTCGAGGAGATGGACTGCATGTATGTGTATGCATGTGTTACATGTGTGCATGTGTCCGTGTGTGCATGTATGTGCATGCATGCACGTGTGCATGCTTGTGTATGGGTGTGCACATGTGCATGTGTACACCTGTGTATGAGTGTGCATGTGCATGTACACATGTGCGTGTGCGCATGCATGCATGTTGGTCTGCAGGTGCCCAGGGGAGGCAAGGTCAGGCATTCGGCAGATCCCAGGCTGTCTCATCGCCCACCTGGGAAGCAGCAGCTGGGACTGGGCAGAGGTTTTCTGTCAACCCCTTGGGCTCACCACCCAGGGCAGAGGGCTGGCTCCCCGTCACCACTGCCAGCATAGCCTGATCCACCTGGGTCCTAAAGCTGGCAGCTCCATAGGCACAACAGGCAAAGTCTCCCGAGCACATGGCCACTCCTCCAGCTGCCACTGGCTACCTGAGAGCCAGGCCAGCTATGCAGCTGGGTCCTCCCTCTCCTGGCCCCTAGGATTCTCCCAGCCCAGCACCATCCAGGTAACGGTTCAGGATCCAAATCAGCCAGACTTGGGAGGGGAAAGCCACCAGTCCTCAGCGACATTCTGCCTCCGATGTGGATCTCGGGGCCCCAAGCTCAGCGGAGGAGTGGCCTTGGTGGGAGCCTCAAGTGTCTGTGCCCACGGCCCAGTGTCCCCTGGGGTCACTCAGCAACCCCCAGATGATACCCCCAAATCCCCTTCCTTTTCGAGAAGCACCTGAACATTAGGGTGCCTTGCTCTGCACCCCAGCAGCCTGAAGATCAACAACTGGTCCTGTGGTCACATCCAGTGAGGCTGTAGTGGAAAACAGTGCCAGCCAGGTTCTCTGGTCCCGTCCTCCACCGGCCACAGAGACACAGGCAGTCACACACTCGGGAGCTGGTCTCAGGCAAGCACAGTGGGCGAGGTGGGTGTCGGAAACAGCAGCCACCACCACCTCTAGGTCACCACCTCTGGGCCGCCCCAGGCTCCTGAGGCTGCCAGCCCAGCACCGCACCTGCTCCTCGCTGAAACCATCCTGGGCATCTGGTTAGCACTGAGTGCGGCTGTACATACCTCAGGGTCACACAAGTGACCACATCATGGCCACCACCCTTCTCCCTAGGGCATGGGGCCGCCCAGAGCAGGGCTTTACTGAGAACCATGGGTTGGAGCCAACTGTGTCCCAAGGGAGTGGTGATCTTCTCCCGGGGTGGGGCAGAGTGGACACAGTGAAGCCTTGGTGGCCGCAGGGGAACAGATGGCACAGGCTCCACTGGGATGGGCCAGACACTGCCGCTCGCCCTGGGAAGCCTCACTTTCAGCAAGGCCAAGGTACAGGCATGCGCCGGCTTCCCTGCCTCCCAGGGTGGCCAGGCCTCCAGCTCCCGCAGGCTGCAGGCATCATGGAGCTGGTGTGGCCACCCTGCTATGCCAGTCAGTCCAGGGCTGCTGGACTGAGGTGGCCGCGCCTCCCCGCTGGGCTCACTCAGACCTGCGGAGCTCCTCTCCCTCGCTGCTGAGGAGCCTGCTGTAGTCTCCAGCCCCTGACGTGTCTTCCCATCATGGTTCAGACCTACATGGTCCCCCTGTCAGACGCAGGCCCAAGCAGCACCTCGAGCTCGGTGGCTGGAAGCACGGGTGACGCTCAGCACCCAGCATCTGCCTGGCTTGTCTGCTGGAGCCCACGGAAGCAAGCACGCAGGCCACACTGCCCTGGACCAGGACAGCGCTGTCAGGGAATGCCCAGGCAGAGCCACCTCCCTGTGAGAGGAATGCATCGACCCACACAGCACTGCTTTCCAAAGTTTATTAAAAATCAAAGAATAGAAAACTTTACATAAAAATACGTCAATTTTAGCTTCCACATCGTTGTCTGCGCACCAGAAAATCTAAACGCGGTGTCTCTTTGCTAACCCTGTGGCGGACGCCCACGGAGACTGCCAGGCCAGCACATTGCTCACCTCGGGGACGGCAGCACCTGCACTCGCTGGTCAGGCTGGGCTGGGCAGGGCAGGGCCGGGCCGAACCGGACCGGAGCGGAGCTCGCACCTGCCGGCCCCGTCCTCTCAGTGGGGCCCTTATGTAGGTTCAGTCAGTATTGCTAACGTGTAGAGATTAGTACGTGCCTACAGATCGGTGCTCATAAATACTCTTTATCAACAGGTTCATAATTTAAATATTTTAAATATTTTGAGATTCCAATCGCCACAGACTGCAGACACCTGTGCCGTGATGCCCTGGCCACCCCTCGCCCACACACGGTCCGCAGCCTGCCCATGGCCCGCTTGTGCATCTGACATGGGAGCGTGTCCTCACCCGTCCATCACCCACAGACACCGGCCTGGGACTCATCACCCAAGGGCGGCATGGTGTGCTTCTCACCAGACAGTCCCCACACGGGCTTCAGGCTGGGCCTGACCCAAAGTCCCTGCAAATCGAGGAGTCAGGCTGACATGACACAGCCAACTCTCCAATAGCTGCCGCATTCTGCAAACTCAGGTGGGCAGGGCGGAGATATTCTCGATCAAGAAAGGTAACAGAGACAGTGGTGGTGGTGGCAGGCCACACCTGTGCAGCACACCTGTGTGTTCCACCTGGACGCTCGGAGATGCTTCCATGCCGGGCATCAGGGCAGGCGCTGGCAGCCAGGCGCTTCTCGTATCCGCTCTTACAGAACGAATGCATACTGCTATGCAGATTCCTCCACGGAATCAACGAATTCCTTTCTCCACATTCCCGAAACTGGGGGCCATTGTCTGTAACGATGCCGCAGCCGTCACTACAGGCCATGCCACCGAGACTGACGAGGCCTCCCCAGGGTCACACTGCTCTGAAGGGTTTCTGATGTGACCGCCTCTTCCCCTAGAAAGTGATACTTCTGGCACTTTAAATGCTGGATTTGTTGTCTAAAGAACCAAAACCAAAACGCTAAAACTTGTGGTTAGAGCGGGCCGATGGCTTGCGGCCCAAGGCAGGACTGGTGGGCAGGGGCCCCAGGCCCAATGAACCCCACCCAGCACTGCCAGGAACACGGCCCCTCTTGCTGGCCTCTGACCAAAACAAAAGACAGCAAATGAAACCCCAACCCCTCGCGTCACGGTGTTCATGATGCTCATGGGACAGCCAGCAACACAGTGAACCCAACTTAGAAAATGCAGCTTGGGAAAGGATCTAAGCTTGTTTAAAAAAAATCCCTCCTCCCTTAAATATAACTTATGTGAAAATATGAAATTAAATAAAAATATCTGATTATTGCACAAATCATAAGTTTTCGATATTTACATAGAAAAACAGTTCTGAAGTCTCAAACAAAATGCAAGGGCAGTAACACGACGGCCTCCACTCCTGCCTCCTCTGACCACAGGAAATACAGACTCCTGCCGACGAGGAGCAGCCAGGAGGGCTGCAGCAAACCAGCAGGCGACCACGTTCCTGTCTTCGGCAGGGCCGCCCACCCAGGAACACAGACTCCAGGAGGCCAGGCTTGTCCACGGCGTAAGGCTTCACAGATGAGCACGAGGAGCTGCTTGCTGGAGATGGACGCGACCACCACAGAGGAGCATGCAGAGTGACCGGCGGGCGCTATGGCCACGGGTGCTGAGTGCTGGTCTCGGGCGCGGGCGCCATCACCTGCTGAGACTCACGGGCAGGCTGTCCCTGGAGTGTGCGTGTTTCTTCCTCCGCCAGCCAGTGCGATTGTACTGCTGGTGGCCCCGGCTGCCCACAGGGGGCCGCACACCTCCACTGCCCACCGAACTGTAGCTGCCGCCCTGTGTGTGGCCATGGGATCCTTTCATGGACAGCTTCATGCCATTGTGCTGCTGCAGAGACAGAAACAGCGACACTGGGCATGGCACGCAGACTCTGCCCCGTGCCACCCACAGGAGCAATGCCACCAAGCCCGTCCCCAGCTGAGAGCTGCTTCCCACAGGAGAAAGCTGGAGGCACTAGAGCACAAGACATGCCGACAGGACCCAGGTGACCGGAGTGACGGAAACCACAGGCCAGAGCAGGCCACCAGACTCAGGGCCAGCTTGCTCTGCCGGTCTGCAGGGTAAGATGCCCTGTCCACCGGCCCTCATGCCTCCCCACCCTACTACATGACCACCCGCTTCAGGCTCCCTGCACTGCCAGGTGGAGCCGGGGAAATCGGCTGCCTCACGAGCAGGTGAACAGGAAAGCCACAGCCGAGAGGCAAAGGTCGCTTTCCCTAGCGCAAAGCGGCAGCTCTGACGGGTCAGCACAGCGACGTGACAGAGCAACGCTGTCACAGGCTGGGAAGCTCCAGGAAGGCAAGCCAGTACGCCACCACCAAGGGGACTAAGAAGCATGGTACGGGGCCCAAGAATAAAGCAGGGTGCAACTGACGGGTGAGGAGCATTAGTGCCACACACACACACACACACACACACACACACACACACACACACAGAGGCATGTCGCAAATGTGGGCTCCGCAGTGAGCTGCTTTCACATGCCACTTCTGCTGCACCAGACAGAGCAGAGACAAGCCAGGGCTGGAGGAAGCACCCTAGGTCTTCCTGAGACCGGGGACGGGGGTGTCACCCCAAAGCAGCCCACCACCCTCCACGTCCCCTGGGGCGGTGCAGGAACAGCAGCCGAGAGACACAGCACTTCACACAGGTACAGCAAGACTCACTCCTGTGTTAGCTTTTGCTTCTTGAAAGCTACGTTACTTATAAAAAACCAACTATTTAGCACAAATGAACTTAAATAAGGAAGCAAAATGGCCCTCATTTTGACTTTCACCTTTTTAAAGTTTCATTTGCATGCTAACCAGTTTAGCAAAGGCACGAAGAGGAGCTTCTGGTGGGTAAGGAAACTTCTCCCTGAGCTGCCCGAACACCAGGAGAACCGCGCGGTGGCGGGGCACCTCAGGGTGCAGCCGGGGAGGGCATACGCACCTTATGGTACAGGTGAGGGCTGGACAGTGGGTTGGGGGACGCTGAGGGGATGGCAGGGGAGGACATGTGATGCACAGCTTTCAAGGTCGAAGTTCCTTCCACACCAGGCTGTCTGCAAGGGACAGGGGCGACCCCGAGGGTGGGAGGAGGGATGGTGAACCTGGTCTGGGAGCAAACAGAGACAGGCACGGTACAGCACGTGAGGGCACAGCCAAGGAAGCGCGCCTACTTCCACCAAGCCCATGGAAACAGCTTCTGTCCCCAATACACCAGGAGCCCAGTCCCGTGGGCTTAAAGCTGACACCAGCAGACCACAACCCTGAGCAACCAGTCCCCAGCAAGCTGCCGCCTGCGTCCCTTGGAGGAACCCTAGGGAGACCCGCCTCTGCCCCCTCGCCCCACAGCAGGGGTGAGGCAAGGGTCCTCTGCTCTCTCCGAATCTCCCTGTGGGGAGGCTCCCCAGACACGAGGACAGGCAGCTGCCAGGGCAGAGTCCACCATGACCCCTGTGTCTCAACTGGTCCCTGCTGGCGCACTGTCTGCCCACTAAGTCTGACTTCCCCCCACAGGAGGCACAAGCCAGGCTGGATGTGGCGACCGCTCTGTGAGCTGACAGCAGGAACACACAGCTCCAGGCGGGGCACAGGTCCTTTTGCTTGGCAGCACTGTAAGCAACAGCTCTCAGCCGGTGGCAGCCAGGGGACCTGCACTGTGCTTGCTCACAGCCAATACCCAGCATACTCCTGAACCCGAGCGTCCGCCCAAGCCACGCATAGCTCCTCTGTCCCGCCGCGGTCCTAGCCCACATGCCATGCTGGAAGCTGCAGCCTGAGCCACCAGTCTGCATACGTCTAGGTCAATTCAAACTCAAAACAGAACCCACATCTCAAAAACCAATTTAAGTGAATGGCCACGCTGGATTTATACATACTCAATTAAGCCACAAAATTGTGGAAGTTTATTCTTCCAGAAAAAATTAGAAGTTTCTTCTAATTTTATCTAAATATCAAAACTAGCATATTGGCCAGGCATGGTGCCACACTCCTACAAGCCCAGCACTTGGGCGCCTGAGGCAGGAATTTGAGACCAGTGTGGGCTACAAAGTGAGTCAAAAGCCAGCCTGAACTCCATAGCAAGACCCTGTCTGAGAAAGACCAAACAAACAAACAAACAAACAAGAAAACCCCAGCACATTCTAACAAAGTCCCCTCCACGATTCCCGAGTTGAGGACATGGAAGAGCCTGGGACAAGGTCCAGGACAGGCTGAGCAACCAATATCAGCACCCCTCACCAAGAGTCTGGGTGCAGCCTCAGGCTGGTCACAGAGCTGCTATGGAGACAGCTGAAGTGGCTCCTGCTAAAGCCACCTGGGCCTCCAGAAGCAAGAGTCACCCCCCCACGCAAAAGCCAGACAGACTTTTTTTTAGAACAATGGGAATCATACTGTATCCACAGAAAAAGACAGAGAACTTCTACAATAAAACAGAACTATAAACCCACTGAAGATTCGGAAAGTTTCTCTTCTAAGTCTAGAGCAGCCCCAGACCCCCCAGCACCCTCACAGCGTGGAGCACACGGCACAGACTTGTACCTGATTGTTGGTCGTCATGATCAGTGTGCGGGAGGGAGTGGACTGAGGCTTGCTGCTGGCCAAGGGCAGGGCGGCAGGCAGGCTGGCCACCAGAGTCGCGGGTGCCTGCAGGCTGAACTGATACACGCTGGGCGTGGTGCAGGGTGCTGTGTCCGAATCCTGCAGTCCAGCACAAAAACAAGAGCCGACATGGGGCACAGGGGACGCTGCTTCCAAAGAGAGCACCTCACTGAGCCCCCCTGCTCCACAGCGAGAGGCTGCCCTGGTGACACTGCTTCCCAGACCTCGTCGGCTCTTCGGAAGATGACACCAAAGGAAATACGAAGAGTCATCCCACTAAAGGCCCCATTTCGAGACAGTCCCCTGGCTCATGTGGGTGGTACCATGGCCTGGGCCCTGGGCCCATGGGCCACACTGCCCGTCTGCTCGGGCTCAGGCAGAAGCAGATACAGGGCAGACAGGAGCCACAGCCCCCCACTGGGCTGTCCCTGGAGCACAACCCCTGGGGCAGAGCGGCAGGCACACTCACGATGTCACTTCCAGACAGTGAAGACACAGAGGATGCAGACGAGCCAGAAGAGAGCAGCTGGGGACTGGACAGGGACAAGGTCAGGCGCTCGCTGTAGGGTGACCCAGGCTCCCGGCTCTGCGGCTGCTCTCCATCACACGGGGACACGCGCTCTTTGATCTTAATCCTATTGTCTGGTGGGACACAGGAAGGAGGTCACAGCAAGGAGGTCACAGCACATGTAGACGCGTTGGCCCGACAGACCTCTACTCCGAAGCTCGGCTGTGCCTCGGAGGCTGCTGACAAACCCACTTTTCCATTTCAGTTTATCTAACTGTGAAGGCCGTGCCAATTCAAACACACCTGAAACACGGTGGGTATGCAAACCACCTCCCACTACAGCGCACAAAACCCAAATACAGACCAGGTTACTCCCAAGGAATGCTCAGCAACAACCAGGATGCGCCCTAAATATAAACACCACCGGATTTCCAGGACTGGTACAAACCCGGAGTGCCAGATGTCTCAATGACAGTTACCCGGTGAAACACTAAAATTAAACTGCCTTGGGTAAAATATATTAAGGTGAACTTCACCGACTGCTTTTTGTGTTTCTAATGCAGCCACTGGACTCCCTAGAATCCCACACGTGGCACAGGCTGTTTCTATGAGGCAGTGCGGGCCCGGGCTTGCAGTTTCTCATTAAATGCTGACCAGGAAAAGCTAGACTTTTTCCTAGGCCACACAGCCTGCCACAAGGGGCCAAGGCAGCACTCCGGGCATTGACGGCAAACAGGACAGCGAGGGAGAGGAGGGGGCCCTCACCCAGATCCGGCAGCGGGTGGACTCTGTTGCCCCACTTCTCCTTGATCCACCTCCGGTAGTCAATCACTTCCTGAGTCACCTTGATGATTCTTCCTAAAGTACTACAAGGGTAACACCAGCCATCAGCCCGGCCCACTCACACTGGCGCCATGCCAGAGGAGCAGGGGCAGGGTGAACAGACTTCACAAAGTATCTCCAGCATCGTACTCTGAGCTCAAACGCAGTGTGAGATCACAGTACCCACTTCGGTGTCTGCACAGTCTGTCTACACAGACTGCTTCAGTCCAGTTCACAGGTGGGACAGCCCAGCCTCCCGCACAGGTGCCACACCTGACAGCTCCTTCTCCCACTGCTCAGCCAGAAATGGAGGCAGCACCCCGTGCTAGCGGGGCCCAGGGCTGAACTGAAAACACGCCTCTACCACCACAAGCACCGTGAGGGACCTCGAGAGCGACACACTCCAGCCATCGTGCAGGCCAGGACAGAACACCTGTCCACAGTCTCCGTCCACCCACTCCGGCCAGGACAGAACACCTGTCCACAGTGGCCGTCCACCCACTCCGCACTGCCGCTCTCTCCTCCTGCCTGCCTCCACCTCCTCACACCCTCACCCCAGGCCACAGCAGCACACAGGGTCGGAGTGAGCATTTCTGATTACCTAAGGACGCCACACTGCAGCATGCGGGGCGCTGACAGGAAGAGAAAGGTGGTGCCACATGCATGCGGAGGCTGCCTGGAGGGACAGCAGCACCCCGAAGCTTCCCTCCACCAACAGAGCACACCCTGACCAAATGTCAATGCCCTGAAGAAGAAACCTCTTCCTGCCAACACCTGCAAGTCCTGCATGGGGCCAGGCGGGTGTGGCTGCGCCCCACAGCAACTGAGGGCCCAGAGCAGGACCCAGGCCCTCGTTACCTTTCCGAGTCTCTGTTTGGGTAGGACCTGGCAAGCGGGGACACGGCGTGGCTGAGAACAATGTAGGCATAGTCGAACACCTGCTTCACTTGCATGGCCCCGTAGGAGCTCCGGCCAACGTCGTTTCCTGCAACGGGAAGGCACTGTCACTGTCAGACACCACTGCAGGCTCATACCTCCTTCCAGGTGTTTCCAAGCTTCTCCCTCCAGTCACTGTGCAGCAGGCCCTCAGCCCGACACCCCAGACCTCACCAGCATCAGCAGGGCCGCCCGCCCCAGGCCAGAACCATGGCCACCATCACAGGGAGTCACCCCATGTGGCCTGCACCTCTGTCAGCCAAAAGGGACACTGCGGAGGGGAAGCCTGGAGGACAATGCCTGTGTGAGCTCTGGCCCTAAGAACTGGACAAGCAGCAAACCAAAGCAAGCCCAGCAAAGACACCGAGTAAAGCATCGGGGTTTGTCTGCATAAGACAGAGCATCAATTGGCAGCATGTATACAAAGCACCCACACAATTCGGTTAGGTGTGGATTGCACGGAGGTGCATTCTAAGAGCTGGAATTTCATCTCCTCTAATTTCAGTGCGACCCAGTGATCATGAAGATCTTCAGCTTTCAAGAACACGCAAGCAGACACCCAAAGACAGTGGATATCCTCAGTTTTTCAGGCGCAGGGTGGGTAACACCCTGTGAACCACACCATCAGCAAAACCATGGCATAAAGCGTGCCCTTTAAAAGTCACAATAAAGGGGCTGGGGGTATAGCTCAGCGGCATAAGCGCCTGCCTTGAAAGCAGGCAGTTGTGAGTTCGATCCCCGGTACCGATAAAAAGGAAAAAGACAAAAAAAAAAAAAAAAAAAAAAAGTCACAACAAAGCAGGCAATCTGCTGTCAAAAAACTTTAGGAAATAGATCTCATACCCTAGAAACCAACAAACAAAATAATTAAATTTGTATTAATTTTTAAAAAGTGGAATAATAAAAATATCAAACACGAATGAAAGACAAAAATCAGAGGAAAGCAAGTATGGTACATGTGGCAAGAGGTCTCTTTAGCACACACCATGGAGACAGGGCAGCAGACAGGCAGGCGCAGGTCACCTGACACCATCAGGTGAGGATGCAGAGGCAAAGCCCCTGATCTGGCCTTCTCAGCCACCTCCCTGTGCCCAACAGTGAGCACAGGGTCTCGGCTATCAGGTGCTCAGCAAATGCATGTAGAATTGATAAGCAACAATGTGCTAAACCCCATGATCATTAAACAAATGTAAATGAAATTTACACAGCATGGTTTCATCAGCTGGGTAAAGGTTCCAAGACTGCTGCCCAAGGTACAGAGTCCTAAGCTTCTCCATCAGTGCGCCTAACCCTGGAGCCCAGCCTGGGGTTGCCATGGGCCACCCTTCGGGGGCATGGACCCTGTGCCCTCAGCAGGTGGGCTCAAGACACACTGTACAGTCCCAACCCCAGCTGCAGGCTTGCGTGTGTCCAGCCGTATCACCCAAGGGCCAGCATCGATAGCAGCGCCACAGCAGAAACCGGCAGCCTTGTACAGAGAGCAGGATGGGTGTGCACACTCCGCCCTCTAGGCTGCCCACACTCGGGAAGCACAGGGTTCACAGCCAGCGTGTGACACCTGCAGTATGAAGACCACACACCTCTTCCCATGTCTGGCTGATTAAATAATCCCCCAGCAGAGAACTGAACAGGAATTCAGACAGTGTCCCCGGAGCAGAGGCTCCAGCCAGGCACCTGCTTTGGGCTCACAGCCAAGCCAGGCAGAGCCGGACACCCTTACCAGGCAGCAGCGGATCTTCGATGCACAACATGGACGGTCTGTACCCGCTGGTCATGGCTTTCATGATCTCTTCTTTGGCGATATAGGCACCTCCTTCTTTTATTCTAATACCAGTTTTCAAGTAATTAAAATTTCTTCCATATAGTTCAAAAAATTCTACAAGAAGCATCCCAAGGTTTTCATCAGCTCTCCGGGCATCAATTCTTGGGTGCAACTGTAAAAGCAATGCAGCCATAGTTTGCACAGGGTCAAGTCTTGACCTCAGGGGACACACACGATGGCACCAGTCACCCCTTTCAGGGACCGCCATTCAGTGACAGGCCCGAGGGAGTCTCAGCTGGCAGCGCATAGGTGCCTAGACTGTGCTCCAAAGAAACAAAGCACCCAAATGGCTTTCTTCAGTTTTAAAACTGGTAATGTATACAGCAGCTCCCTACAAACAGATGTGGCTGGCCCACGCTGCCAAACGTGCTACGTTAAGTGAACCACACTTCTGCACACTTCAGTCACCTGGGAGGTAGAGGTGACCTTAGAGGGTGGTCATTCTACCGTATGACCGGTAGGTGGCAGTACTAGACTAGCTCCCCACACGCAGGGCCGAAGTGCCAGGGCTGGACCCTGAGCCTGGAGTCCACAGCAAGCGCACACCCTGCCCAGCTAAGAGGATGCTTCCTTCAAGCAGGGCTGACCAACCCTGGGCCCCAGCCACAGGGGCTGACAACAAGCATCGCTCTTAGCGCGCAGACCTCGCAGTCGCATGCAGCTTTTCGATCTAACCGGACTGAAACCAGCTCCTCAGTGTGCAGCGTCCAGGTCCCAACTCACAGGGCGAGGGCGCCATGTGGGTCCTGACCAGCCTGCCCCGGGGACGCGGAGACAGGACTCCTCAACTGAGCACTGAGAACCTTGGCTCCAGAGGACTCACAGATTAACCCACAGTGAGCACAGTGCCTGCTCATGTCTGCCTCACCTTTATCCCTTAGTCCCTGCCTTTCCATCAAAGCCAACACTGAGGCCAGCCCGGCACAAGGTCCAGCCCCTTCCCTCCTGTGTGTGACACCATGGGCCAGCTGGCCTGAGCTGAGGGATGAGGGATGAAGGATGGTCACCCTGCGCCCTAGATGGTTGCAGGCCCCATCAGGAAGCCCCACAGCTGGCCCTGCAGCCCAGCTGGCGGTCCCTGAAGGAGTGAGCACCACCTCAATGCGGAGGAGCCCACATGGGTGTCACTTACTCCCAGAGCCCAGCAGGCGCCCTGCAGCCAGGCAGTAAATAAGTGACAGAAACAGTTGCACAGGGCAACAGGAAAGGGGAGACCCACAGAGGCAGAGCACCTCCCCGGCAGGCAGAGCAGGTACAGCAAGACTGGCTCCACCCCAAGAAGCAGCCGGCCACCCTCCAACCCGCCTTCTTACAAGCCAGCCCCAGAGATGGTGAACATACCTGGAGAAAGCTGATGGCCATTAAAATGAGGCTGTATGAGCTAATTCCACCTGTAAAAACCTCATTCAGGTCCCTCTGCAGAAGGAACTGTTTCAATACTAAAATCAAGTACGGCAGCAGTGAATATTTCTGTAAATCCCAAAAGAAAAAGACGCGCTGATTAGTTAGACTAATCACTAATCACGGACACTCAGAGCCATGTCCAGTGGCACACTGGGGCGGAGCAGCTTTCCCTGTCTGCATGCCCATCAAAGGGCTCCAGGTCACTCAGCGGAACCAAACCTCTGAGGGCCAAAGCACCCACTTCCTAGGAAGCTGGTAAAAGTCCACCCAGGTGCCTGGCCAGGCACAGCATCAGGGGGCTGAGACGGGCTCTGCGCACAGGTGTTACCTGTGAGAGGAGCAGGAGGGTGGTGGCTGGGCTCGGCAGGCTCCTTTTCGCTGCCGAGTGGGCTGGGGACAGAAACGCTCGCCCAGCCCAGGTCTTGGGCATGGGAGATAGGTCCAGTCCGCAGGCGGGCGGTCCAGAGGGTACACCACCTACTAGGGCAGCCTGCACCCCAGCGGGAGCCAGGGCCCGATCCCAGTTACATGGTGACGACTCCCCCTCCCAGGGCCCCGCAGGCCTGGTGGATGGAGCACACGAAGCTGGGAGCAGTCACTGTGATGTAACTACAGAGAGCACCCACAGTGCCCCACTGAGAGGCTCAGCCTCAGGAAAAGGCTACTCGAGAAAAGCAAACGGCAGCACCGGCAAGGTCCTTTCCAAGTGTCCATGGAAATTGCACTGGGGATAAAGGTGTCAGTGTGTGGTCTGGTCATTAACAACTCCCACACGCAGGCCAGCACACAAGGCCCCATCCATGTGATTACCTTCATATAGTTCTTGATGAACTCCGCCGCCCGGACGCCAGTCTCCATGTTAAAGCTGATATCGACTTTAACTTCAGTCTCCTGATCTGTGAGCTTTATGATGGGGACCTGTGAAGGTGTCATTTAAACACTGTGCTTCAGTATGCAACGGCCTTCAGTCAGGCACCAGGACATTTCCAGAACCGTGCACGGAGCTGCGAGGGTGCAGCATGCCCAGACCTCGGGACACAGAGGCTGTCCCGGAGCCAACGTGTGGTCTGCAGCGCCTGTCCTCACACGGCAGTGCGTACTCTCTGCCCACCCATAGGCCGCTCTGCTGGACAGAAGGGACGGGCGTCCAGAAAGAGGATCAGGCAGCTCGGAGAAGCCACTCTGCCTGTGCTTGGTGACAGTCCCCAAGCTTCCATTTGGTAGAATGTTTTCTACTGGAACTGGGCAGCAACACCGCAGGACCTGGTCTGGGGCGGCTGCGGAGAGGAGCCCTCACCAGGGGCAAGCCATCGAGGTGGGAGGGTGCCCCATGAGAAGAGGACTCCGCGCCACAGCAGCAAGGCCACTTCGACCAACAACTGCTACAGCAGCCATGCAGGGTGGTTCTGAAACTCAGCCAGTCAGGTCCCTGTCCAGTCCCCATCTACGGGAGGAAACCTGCAGTAACCCCTGCCCAGCGCTCTGCTGTCCAGAAGCCTCACTTCCATCCACTTGTTTCAAACAGGAACGGGCAAGAGACAGCAGAGCCAGAGGGCTGAGACCCCAGCTCCCTGTGGGCAGCAAGGACATGACTGCGTCTGCCAGGACAGCAGCAGTGAAGACCCACACCACATGGCCGAAGGACTGGGCGGGACTTCCTCCCGAGAAAGCCTTAGCCAGCAGAGCCCTTCTCGGGCCCTCAGCACCCGGTGTTCACTGAGCCACACACTGAGCAGTGACACCAAGCACAGGTGGCCCCTCCAGGTCTCCCTCGCCTCGCCTCCCTCATCTCCATGGGTGGACACTCGTAGGGTACCCTGCAGACTGTCACCAGAGTGCCAGGAACCTGGTGTGAGGCGCAGTGACTATGTTTTGCAGTGGCAGCAGCAGTCGGTGACTGCCACCAGCCAGGGCCACCTGGTCACCAGGGAGGGCCAGGAGGCAGCACTCACCGTGGCCTTGTCAAGGACTTTGATGGAGCACGGCTCTGCCACGTTGTGCTTGCGCAGAGCTTGCTCCAGCAGCTGCAGAGGAGGCCGCTCCCATTTTCCAAAGACCACCAGATCTATGTCACTGGGCAGAACAAAGGGACCGGGTCAACCACTGCTCACTGCTCTTCTCTCTCTCCCCATGTGACCCGTGTGTGGGAGGCACCTGGGTGTGGCCTGTGGGCTCCAGCGGCAGGCCGGCCACATCGCCTCATCGAGGTGCAGTGCAGCTTATGGACTCCTTACAGAGCTGGGCAGTGACCAGCCCAGCAGCACTGGGGGAGGGGGTGCGTCTAAAATAAAAAGGCCGCCCTGCAAATCAAGTTCCTGCACAGCTCACCAGACGTCCCAAGCCCGGCTGTCCTCGTACCAACACCACCAGTCACCAAGCCCTGCCTCCCGGCCTCCCAGCCTTCCCGCCTTCCCGACCCCCAAGGCAAAGGCAGGGGTCGGTGGGGACACGGATGACGTGATTCACGTGCAGCCCGCGTGGCTATCCAGAGCCCTCCACGAGGAAACCTAGGACACTAACTGTAGACTACAAACGGGATACTTTTCTCATATAAGAATTCTTAAAAACAACTGAAAGAGAATTTTCTTTAATCTTTGTTAAAACTTTAGAAAATCAAATTTTCAAAAATGTCCCAGCGCCAGCAGCACCTTCTCCACTGCGTTACCCTGTGTGGTCCTGGCCGCTCTGAGGGACCCCGCCGAGGTTCACGGGGAGGGAGGACTGCATGCCTCGGGCTGAGCACCAGGCCGCAGTGGCCGACTGCACAGCGATGGAGGCCGTTCTGCAGGAGCAGGGGAGGGTACGGAGCGGACTCTGCCCCTCTCCTCCTCCCCCTCTCTCCCCTGCTCCCTTACCATGGCAGGGTGCAGCAGCAGGGCCACTCCTGGGCCTCGATCTCACACTTTACTGCCTTAAGAGCCTGGGCCAACTTAGCTTCTGTGCACAATCTACCCAGGCTGCGGCACTTTACCACAGCAGCAGGACATGGACTAAGACAGTCCTTTCATCTGCCATCTCCTGCTCCAGTGTCCACATTTCTGTGCCCCAACAAAGTGAGAGCATGAGGCAGAATGTAAGGCAATCAAATTACTTCCGCAGGACTAAGGTAAAACTTTCTGCCAAATTCCCCTGTGCTCCCAGTCTTTTCTTCTAGCTGGCCGCTGCACTCAGACTGGACTGCATAGCATCTGCTCCCAGTACAGGGCGTACACACACCCCGCCTGCTCCGGTCAGCAGCAGCCACCTGGGCAGGGAGCCGGCACTCACCTGGTGGGAAGGTAGAGACCTGTGCTGAAGCTGCCGAATATCTGCACCTGGAAGAAGCACGGCTGTCTGAGAACATGGCCACAGTTCAAGCACGCAGTCCCACTGTCTTACCACAGAGGCCCCGCTGCACCCTCAGGTGACAGGAAAGCCCCCTGGACACTGACAGAGGCATGGAGATCGAGGAAACACTCCCTTCAGTGCTGAAAACCAGCCCCACAAAGTAGAGTTTGCAACGCAGGTGAAACCACTGCTGTGCCCCACCCCAGCCCAGAGCGGGCGTCCCTCAGCCAGAGCCAGGCTGTCCTCCCATCATCTCTCCAACAGACGCAGTGCAGAACAGGGCTCTGTCCTAAGTGTGGAGGATTCCGGGGAGGCCTGCGTCCCTGGGACCCAAGAATGGAAGCTGGGCTTCTGTCCAGCCTAAGGGCACACGCGCCCTCCACAGTGTGCAGATCAGATCAGCCCAGATCTCCTGGGTAGAGGGCATGGTTCATGCTACCCACGCCATATGTTCCAAGTGCCCACGGTCACCAGCTCAACCAACACTCAGGACTCAGAGCTAGGAGGAAACCTTTCTGGTTACTGCCACACATCACGAGCTGGAGGCATGGGGTGAGAACAGTGGGCATAAAACAAGACTAGCCACACCTCAGGCCTAGAGCCCTGGCAAGGAAGCTCAAGGTGCTGGTCAGCTCCACGGCCCGGGGCCTACCAGGGCCTGCTGTTCAGCAGAGGCCGTGCGAGGCCCGGGACTGAGCATTCCTGAGCGGTCGAACCACGCCTCAGGCTATGCAGAAAGCCCAGCGTGTGCGGACCAGAGGCAGGCACAGGGCAGCAGGCGGCACAGGGCGCAGCAGACACTCACGTCAGCCGTAGGCCACAGGTCCTTCACCACGGTCTCGATCCGCGTCACCACCTCCCTCCTCATGGCTGCTTCCTCAGGACAGGGGGACATGAAGTTATAAAAGTCAATGATCTCCTCGTGAAGGCTGATGGACAGAAGGAGACCCTGAGTTACACCCCAACGGGCTTTCCAACCTGGGAGTCCATGCGGCCACTCACAATCCCGCGTCTGCCCCACCAGAAATACGGGGTGGTGGGTGGCACTGCACATGGCCTGGCACCACGGACACAGTGAGTGAAGAGTCATTTCCGTGGCTTACATTAAGAAAATGAGATAAGTGCGACCTTGAGTGGGAAAGATGCTATCCGCCACGTGCAAAGCAGGATAGAGGGTCACCGAGGCCAGGCCTGTCAGCTCCACAGCTGTAACGGCTGAGTAACAGTTTGCAGAATGGAGGGAAGGTTTGGTTTTTTTTGTTTTGGTTTGGTTTTTTTTTTTTTTTTTTTTTTTTTTTGGTCTTTTTCGTTTTTATCGGTACCAAGGATCGAACTCACGACGGCCTGCTTGCAAGGCAGGCGCTTATGCCGCTGAGCTAAATCCCCAGCCCGGTTTGGTTTTTTTGGTCTGTTTGAGATAGGAACTCAGTATGCAGTTCGGGCTGGCCTTCAGCTCAGTTCGTAGCCCAGGCTGGTCTCAAACTCACAATAATTCTCCTGCCTCAGCCTCCCTAGTGCTGAGATTACAGACGTGCGCCCCCACACCTGGCTCAAAGGGAAGGCTTTTTAATGAAGATATTAACGTGAGGTTTAAAAGTAAATGACTACAATAGTGCATTGCTTTACAGTTTGTCTCGTCTAAGGTTAACACCAACAGTCTCTCAATGGAAGTCTCAGCCACTCCCCAGAGCACCCACCTGGAGCAGCCACCTTGAGCATCTCGTCAAGGCTGCACACACACACACACACACACACACGCCAGCCTTGCCCAGAAAAACCCAACACCAAACACCCTTGCCTACTGTCTGCCTGCAGCTCCAGGCCATCACTGGGAACTAATTTTATAAAACTTAATTTTTTAACTATAAAAGTTCACCCCAAACATATGCCCAGTGCAGACAGCCACAAGTTGTTTTTAATGGATCCGGGAAGGTAATAACTCGTGCAACATTAAAATGAAGCACTTTTTCCAAAACACATCACACCACAGGTCTTGAGGTGGAGCGTCTATCCTTCTAACACTTCCCAGGCATTGCCACACCGCAGGCCCCTGCCGTCCTTCCTGTCAGCTCCACTGGTCAGGCTGCGGTCGCGGTCATGGGTGTCACTACGCTCCAGGATCGGCCAGCAGGCTTCTCCCAGGAGGTCACGGCAGCCTTGCTCTGTGGGCAAGGCCATCACTGTCACTGCAGAGCTCTCCGTGGGACCGGCATGTGGGGCCAGCCTCCTGCAGCACTAGCGGCCACCGCCCCTGCACCCACAGTGCTGCACTACAGACAGCAGGACACAGGGATCTAGAGACCTGCTAAGACATAACTGCCCAAAGCCACAGAAGGACGCTGCAGCTAGCATGCTAACAAACTCAACTGACGACAGCCCCATAAATTTAGCCCATTAAAATGTCTAAAAGCAGAGTGCCGCAATCTGCCGAAAACATCACTCCAGGGCTCCCCTGCAGTCCACTGCCGACCTCTCCTCCTCAGGACTGCGCATGAGACCTTCCAGTGGCAGCAGCCTCTCTGCCACCTGCCCCTGTACTCCCTGCAGCAGGACTCAAGAGAGCTGCGGTGACACACCCTGCAGTCCACACACACAGACACTGCCCGCCCACGCCGTCTGCTCAGATGTCTGCTCTACATGCAGGGCCAACAGGCACCTCTGACTTCAGCCCTGCTGTGTGCTGGGCAGCAGGCCCTCCTGACTTCAGCACGCGTCCCCACTGTCAGTCCTGTCTGAAGCTGCTGATGGATGGCACCTATGTGTTAGCAACTGGTGTTAACAAGACCCTGGGAACAGGGTAGAGGATGTCCTCACAACAGGACAGACACGGCCCAGACGGCTGGCAGCACTGCTTGGGAGACGGCACTGGTAAGCGGGTTCTGGGCAAACCCCACCGCCCCACCTCAGGCAAGGCATCCTCCCACACACAGGATCATCTCTGCGTGACCCGAAGACATCTAACCGGCCCGCCTTGGGCAAGTTAGGCTACCAAGGCACTACAGAACCCCAAAAGCTACCAAGGACCCCAGAGTATGCCTGATGATGGCCCTGTGGACAGGGCTGGGCATGGGACATCTAACCGCCACCACTGTCAAGCTGGGCAGTCCTGAAGGGCCACGGCTACCTCTAGCTCCAACTCTGTGGACTTGGCCAGGCATGGAGGCCGACCCCGGGACAAGTTGAAAACTGTGGACCAGAAGCCATCCGTGGAGGGCACAGCCCCTCTGGCCCAGGCCTCTACCACCCTGCAACCCTCGATGCCTGGAGGACCCAGCTGCACCCCAAAAGATGCCACAGGGAGGAAAGGACACAGGACTCGCTGCACAAGGACACCACCTAGACAGTGCTGGCTCACGGTTCATGACCAGCCTTATGCAGAGTACACCAGGCAGACTCTCTGGGGGTCTCCTGGCACCTGCTGATCTACATTCCCTAAACACAACAGGCTCCGCCCCACCCTGGCCATCCTGCTGTCAGCAGAAGCAAAGTACCATTTCCTGAAAAATGTAAACAGCACGAAATACTTGGGATTATTTTACCAGTCACCAACAGCCTGTTATCCTAGGGAACTGCATGTAAGGTCCTGTAGCATTCAATCACCCCATCTCAGTGAGGAAAGGCTCTGGGATCCTGGCCGCCCTCTGGTGGGGCTGTCTGGCACTTGCAGACAGCCTCCCACACACTGGCTCATCTTACCCTACCTGTGACGCCCACCACAAAGCTATGCAAGCTGCTTTACACCGTCAGAGAATGACAGCAAGAGAAAGTGTGCATACCGTCAGGAAGGACACTTCTTTCCTGAGCATCTTCTACCTGCATGGGGTGGGCAACCGGCCCACAGTACTCAGTACCGTCAGCCACCAGGACCGAGGAGTCAACACCCTGCCCTCCAGTGCTGGGGCGGCCACACCATTCAGTTCTCCAAAGGTGTTCCATAGAATCACAGCAAGGAAAGCATTTAGTGATTTAGGTCTTGCCATACAGGGGAGTTGTAGTACAGAAAAAGGAGCCTGCAAGCCATGGGCTATCGGAGGCAGCAAGATCTCGGGACATCGGCGGTGCCCGTGGCCCACACAGACCATGCTGGCTCCTCCCCATCCCTACCAACTACACTTTTCTGTGAGGCTAAAGATGACTTCTTTATACACAACCAGAGGACAGGCAGGCAGCAGCACTGCAACAGTAAAGGAGGCAGATACTGGAGACCTGGGGCAGCGCCCATAGCCATAGGGTGGTGTGCAGGATGGGGGTGGCAGGGAAACCACGGGAGGGGAGCAGTCGCTGGTCCTCAATGGAGCCCACAGCAGCGCTGCCTGTGCAGTACTTCCCCTCGGCCCAGGCCCAGGGGTTCCCTGAGGAGCAAGGTCAGCTTTCACTTAGCAGCGCCAACAGGAAGACACGCCAGGGAGAAGGAGCCACCTTCCCGGGAGTGGGCCGCAGGCACTCAGCATCCAAGCCCCAAACACCAGAATACCAGGGGACAGGCTACCAAGCAGCCGTCGCTCCCCGCTGGCCATACACCACAATCAGCCCAGGCCCGCTGCTCAGACTGACCACTTGCCTCAGTTTACCTGTAATGCTCTGCCCATGAACCCTGTGGATTTCAAATGCTACGAAAAGTGATCTTATGAACTATGTATGACTTTGGTCCCTGGTCTTTTCCACTGTACGGTAAAATGGAACAGAAAGTATTGGAAACTGTCATCAACTTATTCTCTCCTCTCCCTGCTCCTCCAACTCTTCCTTCAGAAGCATCAGCAGTGTCTCACAAATCAGAGCCCCTCTTTCCAGCTCAGTGTTTGCTGTCTGTACTTTTGCAAAAAACCAGCACTTTGCTAAAAACACCTGGCATTAACTACTGTATTCTTAGGTTATATATCATGTTTTGCTGTGCAATTCTAGTGAAATAACCATCGCACACAGGGTAAACAATGCTAATCAGACTGGAATAGCAGCTGCTAAGCAAATGACAGCACCAGTATCCACCACTCTGAGGGGTGAGCGAGCCTCTTAAAGCATCCATTAAATGATGAGTTAATGAACTAATTATATTTTTATCTTTAATCATCTTGCAAGGCAACTAATACCAGCACAAATTAGAAAACCTAGTAGCATGCCTCCAAACTTGCATTTTTTTAAAAAATCTAGGCTCAACACAAGTGAAAGGAACCCACTCAGAAGTGAACTGCCGGGGCTGGGGATTTAGCTCAGTGGCATAAGTGCCTGCCTTGTAAGCAGGTAGTCGTGAGTTCGAACCCTGGTACCGATAAAAAGGAAAAAGACAAAAAAAAAAAAAAAAGAAGTGAACTGCCAACTGAGCAACCTCGGCAGCCCGTGCTTCTGGCTGGGGGAGGGAGGACGGGCCTCATCCCAGCTCCTCCCCCCGGCATGTACAGGGTTCTGAATGGAGCTGCCAGCCAGGCTGCTTCTCAGGAGTGAATGGAGCGGAGGAGGCCCCAGGAGAGTCCCCCTGTGGGCAGAGGGCTGACAGCTAGGTCAGGAGAGAAGACTGCGGCCTGGAGAGGAGCAGCAAGACCTGGGCTTGCAGACTCGCTGGGGCCCCAAGGCTGGGCAGCAGCAGCCACACAAGCAGCCAGCACAGAAGAACCCCAGGCCCGCTTGGTCTTCTTCATGAGTCTGTCTCTACAATCACCCCCAAAAGCCAGCCCATATGGCTTCCTCTCCTGACCTGGCCCCACGTCCCACAGTCCCCACCACAGAGCCCAGTTCTCCAGATCTGCGCTCTGCTCCTGGCCCAGAAAACCAAAGGCCCCTTCCCTCCATGGTTCTGGTTCCGGCACCACCTTGAGTCACCAATCTAAGAGTCATCCAGATGGGAGCCCTTAAGGTTTGTGTCTAGATGACCCCCCAGAGCCTCATGCAGTCACTGGGCTTTTTCAGAGGTGGCCGAGTCTAGAGTGTGTGATGC